CGCCCCCCCCCCTCCTCCATGTCACCACGAGGCTAAGTGGTAGCCGAACCTCCTCGCCAGGAGCTCTCGTGCAGCCTTCTCCCACCCCCCAAACCTCGGATTCCTGGCCGCCACGCCCGCCCGCTCGTTCCCATGCTCCCTTGTCCCTTTTTGCCTTTTTTTCTTTGCTGCTCCCGCCGCCAAGTCCACCACCCGCCGCCGCCACGCCAATTGCCTGCTTTGTCGCTGCCTTTTCTTCGTTTCTAGCCCGTCGACACGTCCTTGGCTGGTGCCAGCCTCATTGCATTCTGCCTTGCTACACAGCCTGCCGCCTCTCCCTGGCCCACCCTCACCGTCTTCTCCCGGCAGCTCCTGCTCGCCTGCGATCACGACCACGACCACGACCACGACCACGATCGCGACCGCGACCACGAACGTGGCTGCGACTGCGACTGCACGAGCCCATCCCACCTCGCTGTTCCCGCCATTGCGACCGTCCTGACGACTGCCGCCATTGCCCCTCGAATGGACCACCCGAGCAAGCGCCGGCGACTGGCGCCAAAAATGCCCGACATGCCACCGCCGCCGCTGCCCTCTCCAGCTCCTTCTGCTGCGGCTGCGGCTGCCGCGGCGGCAGTCACCACGGCTGCCGCCGCCGCCGCTGCTGCTGCCGCCTCGATAGCACCCACGCCGGCTCCTAGCATAGGAACCTCGGCCGGCCAGCATCCACCGCCATACACCAACGAACAGGTGATTGATAATTATCTCGATTCGGCGCTCCGGGGGGACGACAAGTCCGCCCGGCTGCAGGCCGTATGGGCGCCGTGCCATGCTAACGTCTCGCCACAGCTACTGCAATTGCAACATTCCCAACAGTACCAAGGCCCCGAGGCCATCCACGTCCCTGAGCGCCACGACTTTGAGGCCTTTGCGCGCCACCTTCAGGACGCCGCCATGCTCATTTTCCGCCAGACCCAGCGGTCGCCCTACTCGGGCGTCTCGGTCCTACTACTCCGCTGGGAAGAGGATTTGTCGGTCGAGAAGGACCTAGCCAATCTCGAGGCCGTCCTGCGCGAGCGCTACAACTACCACACCGACCGCTGGTCCATACCAACCGTCCCGAACCCCAGCATCAAACTCGGAATCCAGATGGCCACCTTCCTGGAGCATGCCCGCACCGACCACCTACTTATCATATACTACGCAGGCCATGGCTACGTTGGGGCCGATAACCACTTGTACTGGGCGTGGTGAGTTGACTATTGAGTGCGACCAGGGGGTGATGGTGCCCCCCTTGATCTGTCGCTTTTTTTTTCTTTCCTAATTTTTCCAACCCTGCATGATAGTTTGCTGACGTCTTCTTTCATTTCCCTCGCTCCCAGCCACAAAGGAGACGATGCCTCGAAACTAAAATGGGACGGTGTGAGGTGCTGGTTTGAGGATGCGCAGTCAGACGTGCTCCTGCTGCTCGACTCATGCGCTCCCAGAGAAGCTCCAATAGCTGGCAGCCACGGAGTTAAACAGGCCATTGCGGCTTATACTTCGGACCAAATCCCCCGCGAAGCGCCCGCCCGCTCGTTTACCTCCTGCCTGGCAGAGTCCTTCTCGAAGCTTTCGGCCGGTCGACCCTTCACTACCCAGAGGTTACAAGAGGAGGTCGCCCTTCTACAACAACAAAGCGTACCGGAGCGGGCCCTGACTAATGGAACTGCCGGCCCCCCCACTCCGCAACAGGACGTCTACCCTCCGGTGCTCTTCACCCTGACGGCGGGCAAGGGGCATGGCATAAGCCTGCCTGTCTTGCCTCCACCTGGCAGTGCCCGCGGTCAGGCCGAGCAAACGAATGGCGACAGCGATGCCAGGATCAAGCGTGAGGACGAGCTCATTGGCCCCGAGGCCGTCGCTGACCTTACCTTTGACGAGGCTAGGGCCCTGGTGTGCACCACATTTGTAGGCGATGCGAGCCAGGACATGACCTTCTTCAACAGCTGGTTGCAAAACGCCACCCCCGTTGGGATAAAGCTCACGGTGGAGGGCATGTTCCTCGGACCCCCAACAATGCTCCTCGTCTCGATGCCTCACTCGGTCTGGAATGTAGTGCAACACGACAAGGTCTGCTGTTTCCTGGGCTACATCACTTCACACAACATGACCCACCTATACAAGCGCTTGGTTGGATCCATCACGACCGCCCCGGCGGCATCGGCAAAGGACGTCGAGGACGGCAAGATTCTTCTGGAGGCTAGAGAAGCCTTGGTTCGGCACGAGCAGGGAGCACAGGCGCAGAGCACCCAGGCACAGGGCGCACATCACGCTCCAAACGGCAACCACATAAAGCCAGAGGTCACGTCCACCACGCCTGCGCGCCCCCGAACCGGTGTCAGACATGGCCTCCCGTCATCGGCGCCGTCGTCCGCCTCGAAGGCAGCCGCGCCGGCCGTGGCCAACAAGGAGGTTGAAGATTCGGCAGAAATGCAGGAGGCGGCTGAACAACTGAAGGCGCTGAGCCATCTGGGACATGCGGGCGGCGAACCTCAGACGGGACAGAAGCGGGCTCACGGCGAAGGGAGCAGCCGCTCCTCGCACGATGCAGCTGAGTCGGGCGCCGAGGAGGCCATGTCTGTTATGGGCTCGGGCAACACGACGCCGCCCGCAAAGCACAAGCCACGAAAGTCTCTGGGGAAACAGGCAACACCAAAGCAGGAGACGAGGTGCACCATGTGCAGTCATGCCCCTTTCAAAGACTCGTCCTCGCTGCGGAAGCACATCGCGGCCGCGCATACGCGACCCTTTCCATGCGCCTTCTCCTTCGCCGGCTGTACGAGCACCTTTGGGTCCAAAAACGAGTGGAAGCGCCACATATCTTCTCAGCACCTCTGTCTCCAGTACTACCGCTGCTCCTCGTGTCCGCTGAGTGCCATCGAGGGCAAAGGGAACGAGTTCAACCGGAAGGATCTCTTCACACAGCACCTTCGGCGCATGCACGCACCTTTTGCCATTAAAAAGGCCATCAAGAGCGACGGGAAGCTGCAGACAGAGTGGGAGAACCACGTCAAGGATATGCAGCAGTCGTGTCTGGTGACGCGCCGAAAACCCCCGCAGCGGTCGGCCTGCCCCAAACCCGGCTGCCAGACCGTGTTCGAGGGCCCGACATCGTGGGATGAGTGGACCGAGCACGTCGGCCGGCATATGGAGAAGGGCGAGGGCCAGCAGATTGGGGTCGACCGACTCCTTGCCAAGTGGGCGCTTGACGAGGGCATCATCGAGAGGAAGGACGACGGCGAATACCGACTCTGCAACCAGGACGAACTGCCGGGCAGGAAGGACGCCAGCATAAACTCGTTCACAAGGCCCGAGACGCCCAAGGATCAGCTTGAGCTACGAGAGGAGTCGCCGCACAGGGAACACCAGGAACCACCAGAGCAGCCGCAACCGCAAGAGCAGCAGGAGCAGCAAAAACAAGAATCACCACAACGACAACTGCAGCAGGAGCAGCAGAAGAGGAAACATGATGCCGAGGACGAGGGTTCTATTACCGTCGCGACCACACGCGCCGAAGATGATCGCATGGATGTTGATGACTGAGAGGTATGCTGGATACATCCCCATGTTCCGAGACACGACGCAATATGATTATAGTTATTCTTTTTATTTATTTCCCCCCTTCTCTTTGCCAGAGGCAATGTTGTCTTTTTTTTTCTTCCCTTCTTGCTTCGTCTACATTGCAATCTTTCTATTTTTCTGGCGGGCTGCGGCTGTCGTTTTAGGTTTCATCAGCATTACACGGAGCGTGCGCATTTAACGGATCATTTTTTTCGCATTTATATCTCAGCATTGCGGATATCCCCAAGTTCGGAGTATAAAGGGAATGATGGGCTTGGAGGGGAGTTGCTGTAGTCACGAACGTCCATGTTCTGGGGATGTTTGTTGTGACTTTGTTGGTCGCGTGGTTCCATTGTCAAGGTAGCGCCGTCAAGCTGGAAGATGGAGCACAAGATGTCTCCACGCACGCTTTTGTTATTGCCCACCGAGGCTGCCCATGTCCCCATCTGCGATGCGCAAGCAGCTGGCGTTGTTCCCAGCGTTGGTATATACCCCTGTCTCCAGCTCAGATACTTGTATACCTAGGTAGCCAGCAATCTCTTTCCGACCACAACCTCTCCGGCGTCTGGGGTCTGGCGAGTCGCGCATCGTTATGCCTGCCTTGTCTGTGCACGCTGCCTGCCCTGGGTCACGTCAAAGTAGATGAACAAGCTCTTCGAGGCTCGGAATCAGACCTTTCTCAAGCCAAGTCTACTTGGCTGAGAACGGAGCCATCAAAATGCGCAACCATGCATACCTAGCTAGGTAGTTAGTGGCTTTGTATCGCTCCCTGTCCGAAGTCCTCAAATTCGTCCATAAAAGATGCCTGGAGAAACACTCCCGTTTGTACATCACAGCGACGACATAACAGTCAAAACGATAAAACAACCCACAACAAAAACAGATCAGAAGAGGAGACGGCCTGCTGGCAAAAGTCAGCTTTTGTTACAAGCATCAATATCAGCGATGCCGAGGTAGAAAATACAAAACAAAAGAAAACATGCAATATCTCTGTAAGAACCCCCACCGCAAGGGAGAGTTCTGGACGTGCTTCCCATCCTATGCGAGCAAAAAGAAGAAAAAAAAGTCTAACAAAAGTAAAACAGGATAAATGGGGGCTATCCCACCCGAGATCAAGAAAAAAAAAAAAGGTCCAGCTAGTTCGAGGCCTTGGTCACGTCCAGACTCATCCCATCCACGTTAGATGTAAAAGCAATGACGCGAGTAAACCGGCCTAGTTCCTGCTAGGAAATCCAGACGTCCCGCGAGCAGAGTCCATGGTGCCGTGGCCTTCCTAAGCACCAGCATTACCGCTTCCGGGAGCGCCTCCGTTCGCCCCACCCCGCTGCCTCTTTCCTCCAGGCCCGCCGACTCCAACCTCGTCGTTGCGCGGGCGCTTGTTGCCCGGTTGGAAGTCGTTGACGCCGGGGTTGAGGGAGGCGCTGGGATTGCGTTGGGCTCCACCCCTGCCGCCCCTGCCGGCCTGGCCACCCCCGCGCGCGTTAGGTGCCTGATATACACCGGCTCCTCTTCCGCCACGCTGAGCATTGCCACCTCGGCCTGCCGGTACCGGGATGCCTGTGCGAGCAGCTGGTTGCTGTGGTTGCGCCTGTTGTTGTCCCGCTGCTGGCTGCGGCACTTGAGAGGCAAAAGGGTTTGCCTTGGGAGGGCCGTTGGCGTTGGCGTTGGCGTTCGCGTTGGCATTCTGCGCGAACGGATTGTTCAAAGGAGCAGCGGCCGAAATCGCAGGCTGCGGCTTCATGGGTAGGGATTTAGGTGCTGGCGTTCCCGTGACACCAGGTGTGGCTGCGTTGGCGGAAACAGCCGTTGGGGTGGCGGGGGCTAGTAGTTGGAAAGAAATGTTAGCTTCGGAGAGCAGCATGGTCGTCATGAATCTGGAACGAAGTAACAGCAGAAGTACATACCTGGTTGAGGTGGACGGCTAGTTGGAGGAACAACCGCCGACGGGGGAGCTGCAGAAGAAGCTTTGGGGGTTCCCGGCACAGGTGTGCCCGGGGCAGTGACAGCCGCTTGCTGAGAAGCTGCGGCAGGTAGTGCAGGAGGCGGCTTGTACTGACAGACCACCTCCCACACCTGGGCAACAGGACGCTCCGGCGTTTCCTTGGCTGCGGTCTCGACAACGCCCAGCTTGCCCGTCGCCAGTTTGAACTTGTTGTCCAGCATGTTGATTCTCAAGGCTGACTTCTTCTCCGTCATCATTGTCGCCTGCTCCTTTGCCTGTGCCAGCTTGACAACCTCTTCCTCGTCTCGAATCTTCTTGTTCTCCTCTATCTTCTTCCGGATATTGTTCGCGATGATCGACTTGATGGTAGCGTTCTCCGCCAAGAATCTCCGAACATCCGCATCGCTCAGTTTGGTCATATCCACAAGATTGGGTGGCGCCTGCTCAGCCTTGATAGGTGTGGCGGGGACTGCGTCTGGATTAGATGCGGCCGCGGGCGCCGAGGCCGAGTTTTCGAGGAGCCATATCTTCCGCTCCTGCTCTAGCCGAAGATCATACTCCTGCTGAAGCTTCGTCTTCTCGTCTTCGAGTTCCTTGGCCATGGTCTCCCTGGAGTCCTTGAGGCGCTGGTTGAGAGCTTCCTTCATTTTGTTGGAGCGCTGATCAAGCGTAGCCTTGATATTGGCTTCAACAGCCGCCGCCTGCTTCTCAGCCTCCTCCGCTTTGGCCACGGCGGCATATATCTGCTGGCGGAGGGCCGCTACCTCGGCTTCAGGCAAACCAGCTGCTGCCGCCGCCGAAGACTGGGCTTCACCAGCCTCGTTGCCGTTGGCGACCTGCTGCTGCCCGTCCGGTTGAGATTGTGCAAGAGCTTGCAGCCGGTCCCGATCCTCAATGGCAGCCGCCAATTTCTCGCTGAGAATCGCGACCTCTTGCTCTGTCGCTGCCTTCAGAGCGAACGTTGCTTCAAGCTCCTGTCGAACAGCGGCCAGGTCTTTCTCCAGCTGAGAGATCCTACCGTCATCCACAGAAGTGGCGCCCGATGAAGCGGTCGGAGCAGCAACATTCTCGGAGGTAGCCGCACTCTGAGTTTGTTGCTGGAGCTGTTGTTGAGCCTCTTGCAGGCGACTCTCGACAGTCATCTTCTCTTGTGCCGCAGTCTCCAGCTGGACCTGAACAGTGGCAAGATTGTCGGCTGTAATCTTGAGCTGCTCCTCGGCGGCATTCTTCTCGGCTTGCAGGGCATTGATCCTGCCTGCTTGCTGCCGAGACTTGTCCTTGGCCTGCTCAACCAGTTTCTGCCTAGATTCTCTCCAAGCAATGGCGTTCGCCTCATTCCTGGCCTCCAGCTCGGCGATCTGGGCCTTGAGAGGCTCCTGGCTCTGCGCCAGGGCATCACGTTGACCCTCCAGGTCCGTGATGGTCTGCTTGAGCTGCTCGAGCTCTGCTGGATCGACGCGACCATACTTCGTAAGGATGGAGTTCGTGCGCTCCTGCCACCTATCGCGATCTTCCTGCAGCTGCTTCACCTCGTCTTGCAAAAACAGATTCTGGTTCTCAATCTCGGCAAGGCGAGCCTCCAGAGGCTGCAACTTATCCCGGAGCTCCTGTACCGTCTTGTTTTTGATGGTGAGCTGCCTCTGTGCGTGCTGGACTTCGTTGCGGAGCGTCACGTTGCTCTCACGCACAACGTTCATCTCGTTGACCTTGTCCATCAGCTCCGCGTATGCCCGCGAGCTGGTTCCCGTCTCCGACTGGGCCCGCCGTTCTTGCTCCAACTTCAGGCGTGCCTCGTCGAGCTGTGACTGCAGGTAATTCACCTGCTGCTGAAGCCTCTTGGAGTCTTGAAGCTTGAGCTCGTACTGATACTCCAGGATCTCCTTCTCCTTGCGTAGGTAGCTGTTGAGCTCCCTGAGTCCTTCGATGGCCGTGTCAGAGGAGAGCGGCGCTGTGGCGGCCGCGTCATCACCCCAAGACCGGCTCTGCTGAAGATCCGAGATTTGAGTTGTGACATTCTCAATCTGCTGGTGGAGAAGCTTGTTCTGCGCGTTCGCGTCTTCCCGCCGCGCGCGGAGTTCCACCAGCTCTTGCTCCATCTGCTTCGCCCGCTCCTCCCACGAGGTCTGGCCCTGAGCAAGAGACACCTTGGCCGACTCAGCTTCTGCCCGCCACTTTGCAGCCTCCGACTTGAGCTTGTCCTGCTCCGCCCGCAGCTTTTGCGCCAGCTTGGCGGCCTCGGCATGCTTGAGAAGCTCCTGCTCATAGTCTTGTTGGGCCTTGGCAGTGATCTCACACTGCGACCGCAGGTTGGCTTGATGGTGCTTTGCCTTCTCCTTGTACGTGGCATCTTGGTCACGGAGGCGAGTGATCTCAGAGTCGAGGATTCGCTTTTCGTCCTCGAACCGGCGAGTAGTCTCTGCCTGCGAGTCTCGGAGCGTCGAAAGCTGTGTGTTGGTAGTGGAGAGTTCTGCAGACATGTCAGCGATGCGCTGCTCGAGCTCCTTGATCTTAGAGTCCTTTGAATTGATCGCGGCATCGAAATCCTGTCGGTATGCGTCTTGTGCACTCTCCAGGGTGCGGAGGTCTTCCTCGATGGTGTTGGACAGCTCCCTGTACTGATCGGCCTCCGCCTTTGCGTTTTCGAAGCGTGCGTTGGTGATTTCCAGCTCACGCCTGAGATCAGCAGCTTCGTCGGTAAGCTCCTGGATCCGGGCCTCCAGATCTTCGCTCTCCTCGCCTGCCGCACCGTTTTGCTGGGCCCTCGAGGTTGGCTGAGGCTGCAGGCGCTGAGCTCGCTCCTCGACGCTTCGGAGCTCGACCGTCAGTTCGTTGACACGCGCCTGCAGATGGTCTCGGCTCGTCTTGGTGGCAACTAGCTCCTCCTTGTGCTTCCCAAGGCTCGTCATGAGATCGTCGATGCGCTTCTGCGCTTGTTGGGAATCGTAATCCTTCCGAAGCTGCAGCTTTTTGGCTTCCTCAACCTCGTCCGCCAGCTTGCGCTTCGTGCTGCTAAGCTCAGACTCCAGGTTGTCAAGCTGTGCTTGAAGTCGCCGCTTGGACTCGGACTCAGAAAGCTGACGCTCATTCTGGAGAGACTGCTGGGAGGCCAGGAGACTGTTGAGACGCGTCTTCTCCTCTCCGAGATCCTCGTTGTCCTTGATCAGTCGCTCCTGGATGCTCTTCCAGAGCGCCTTCTCAGCCTTCAAGTTGGAGTTCTCGGCCCGCAAGCTCTCCAGCAAGCCCTTGGTCTCAATCAGATCCTCCGCCCGTGACTGCGCAAGAGCCTCGGTTTTCGCTGCGTGCTGCGACACATCTTGGTTGCGCTTTTTGAGGTGGTCTTTCTGGCTCTCGAGATCCGCATTCGTCACCTGCAAGATCTCGTAGCGCTCATTGACCAGGGCCAGTTGGCTGTTCAGCCTGGCCACCTCGCCCTGCAGGGCGCTCTTCTCCTCGGAAAGCTGCTTGGCCTGCTCCCGCACAGCTTGCAGGTCAACGCCCTGCTCGTTGCGGTAAGCATCGAAGTTGGCCTGGAGTTCTCGGAGCGCAGCGCTCAGATCATGGTCGTCGGGATTGCTCTGCTCGATGCTAGCAAGCACTTCCCTGCCATCAACAGAGTTGCCGAGGACAGAGTTGATCTCGCCAGCACTCGCCTTCTGCTGGAGCATGCGCCTGAACATGTCCCGCTCGGTCATGTAGCTCTTCATGCGCGTCGTCAGTGATTGCGACTCCTCCTGGAGCTTCGATACGAGATCTCGGAGCTTCAAGACTTCTTCTTGATCCTCCGCGGCCTGTCTCTTGGCAGCCATGGCCTCCTCGTTCTCGAACTTGTCGGCAAGATCGCGAGTGACTCTAAGCAATTCCTGGTTCTTCTCCTGTAGCTCAGCCACGTCCTTGAATGCCACAAACTTCTCCGTGATGAAGACGTGCGTATCGGACATGTCGTTGAGGGAGTTGTCGGATACTTCGCCACGTTGGAGCTTGGCAAAATGATCGGCCTCCTCGTCCGTGAGTTGATCGAAGCCCTTCTCGCGAGCGTGCATGTTGAAGATGAGGACCTGAACCTGTGTGCTGAGGTCCCTCATCTGCGCGCGAAGGAGCCTGATTTCCGCTTGCGACGTGCTGAAAGCAGCCTCAGCCTTGCGAGCAGACTTCTTGGCCAGGTCGCGCTCCTGGAAGCTCTCATCGGCAATGCGCGTCATCTGCACATTCTCTTGCCGAAGCCGCTCAGCCTCCTCTTGGAGCTCACTGAGCTCTGGACCCTTGGCTTCTAGGGCGCTCATCATCTCATCGAGCTCCTGGGTCAGATTGCGATTGCGGCGTTTCTCGCCAGCCAGCTCGCCCTTGACCCTGTAGAGCTCCTCCATCGCTTGCGTGGCAGAGATTGATGATTTGACGCGGAGCGAGCCCGGGGTTCCGAACGGAGAACCTGGACGGAAAAACGACCCGTTCGGTTTAGGTGTCTGGGGCGCTGAGCCGGGAGCAGCATCGCGCCCATGCGACGTCACAGCCCGAAGTTGGTCAACCTCGGCCTGCAGTTGTTGTTCCTTCTGCTCCAGCTGAGTGCACTCTTCCCGGGCCTGCTCAAGTTGTTGTAGAACTTTGCGCAGTTCATCGGCGCTGTTGTCCTTGATCTGTTCTAGATTGAGCTTGATCTGACTCATCTCCTTCTTGTACTGTTCCGCATATTCTTGAGACACCTCGGCCAAACGCTTGGCCGTATCGACCTCCTGCTTGTATCCTGCATCGGAGCGCGCGGCGGCCTCTTGAACTTGCTGGATCTTGGTGAGTGCCTCCTCCGTCTTCTTCTGAGCAGCATCGAGCCGCGACCGCAGCTGTTGTTCGCTCTTGGTGAGAGAATCGACGGTCGAGGTCGCTTCATCGTTCAGACGCTGGAGCTCTGCGATGCGCTCACCCTTCTCCTTGCGATACTTCAGCGCATCCGCAGTCTTGGCCTTGAGCTCCGTCTCGAGCCACTCATTGTTCTTCTGAGCAAACTCCAATTCTTGTCGCAGCGACTGCTCTCGGAACTTGGCGCTATTCACAACAGTCTTTGCGGCCTGGACCTCCTGCTGGACCTGGCTCAATTCCTGGCTCAAAGCCAGATTCTTCTGGTGCTGTTTCTGCAGCTCTTCTGAGAGCTCGGCGTTTGCGGCGTTCTTGGTGTCTAGGATGGCTAGCGTGTCACGCTTGGATGCTTCAAGCGACGTGGTACGAGCCCGAAGTGTATCGACCTGTGAGGCAAGCGTCGTCGTCTCCGATTTGGCAGTCTGCAGTTGGTTCTCGATCGCTTGTCGAGAGGTCTCTGTAGATCAACCAAAGCAAAATTGTGTTAGAGGGCGGTGAGGAACGCGTTGCCGTCAATTAAATGCTGGCATTGCAGCTCACCTTCTTCCTGAAGTTTGTGCCGCAAGTCCTCGACTTCCTTCAAGGCGCTGTCGGTGGTGCCCTTGAAGGTCTGGCATCGCGACTCGGAACTGCGAACAGCATTTTCAAGCTCGATCCCGAGCTGCAGCTTTTCGGAGTAAAGGACGTCGAACTCCCGTGCCTTGATTGCGACGGCGTTGAGAACGGCGCTGACCAGTTCGGCGGTCGGATCGGTTGCGACCGTGGTTATGCTGTCGAGTGGCAGGCTCAGATGGCTGGACAAGAAGTCCAGGTCCACGGCGGCCGCCATGGTGTCGCGCGTAAAGGAACCTCAAGCAGGAACAACTGGTGCCCTTGTTCGTGGTCAGTCAGTCGTGTGGGATGTCGCCTTTTGCATGTTCGTGCGTGGGAGGGAAAGAAGAAGATGCACGATTATCCGCCTCGAGAATGGAATGGATAATTCTCCGGCCGCTCTTCCAGCCTCGCCTGCCTCTGTTTTCCGGATGCAAAATGCAGGCGCTGTCGGACAATGAAAGTGATGGGAGAGGGTGGAAACGCGGCTGCTCAGGCGACGGGTTATGACGAATAGTAGCGCGACAAACTGTGGGCCTCGTCGAACACGGCAGGGACGACCTTGCAGGGCCTGCCGCAAAGTGGGGCTAGAAGCTCTGTCCGTTCAGAAAGATGGAAGACGCTTTCCTTTGTGGACCCTTTAGCTACTCCCTCCCAAGGTTGATATTTCCTTTCATGATGTCCAGTTTGATCTAGGCTGCGACGAGAACGATCCCTCTTCTTCGCTTCCATTCATTGTTGCCTGCCCGACTCGCACCGGCGCAACATTATGTCCTAAATGAATGAATAAATAAAATGAAATCAAAAATTTGCACACCTGTACCACGAACGCCATTCATCTCCAACTTGGCCTCGTCCTCTACCCACCACTGTCTTGCCATCGTCAAATAATCCTGTGACAGCTATAAGGGCACCCTTGCTGTGGGAAATTTTCAATGGTTATCCCAAAAGATTCGCCTCGGTAGAATGAGGTGAATATCATCGGCAAACGGAGCTGTGTCCCGATGGTATCTACCCTTGCAATTCGTTTTCTCTTCTTTTGCATGCACCCACCGAGCCCCGTGATATGTTTCAAGCGACGGACAGACCCAAGTTCGAGCAGCAGCCTAAATTCACATCCATAAATGCGCATTGCTCCAACCCTGATCGTGAATGAATGATGGGGCCAGCGAAGCCGAATGCAAGTATCTGGCTTCCGTGATTCCCAAAAGTGCCAGACAATTCGGTGGTAGGTATCTGATATCAATACCCAAGACCTAGAATTGGCTACCTGCAATAGTCTGTCTTCCTGTGCGGGGACTTGAATACTCTCTTCTCGGAGTTGGAGTCTTTTCGCTCGATGGGACTTGGTTTTTAGGTGTCTACTATGTACCTGCCTACCTAGGTACCCGTCGTCTAACTGGTCGGGAACTAAGTAGCCAGCGTACTCTAGAGGAATACGCCACATGTATTTCCACCGAGCCAGCCTCGTACTGGATACTGCGTCCTACCCAAGGCACTCATACCACAAACAGTTACATTGGCTTTTCGGGGCGAACCGCTGACCTATCTCACAGCTAGGTACCCAGGAGCCCTCGCACGACCTTGCGGTGCTGGCTAATACTGCCCTCATTAGAGTTTCATCAAGAGACACAATTGACCTAGCCACCCCAGCTCCGGCCTGATTGGCTGCATGTGTGGTTTTGTGGCAGAGGCAACGCCTCGTGGTACATGAATGTGCCGTGCTCTCCGAGGAGAAGAGACGACTTTAATAACAGGGAGCACGGACAGGTATCTAGTCTAAAAATTGGGCTGGAGTAACGGGGTGTGGCTGGTCAGGGTCCGTTTGCGGCAAGGCTCGAATCATGACGAGAAGTTCGTATGCGGGGGTGAAGTTTAAGTGGAATTAGGATGAGAATACTTTTTTTTTTTTGGCAGTAAGCCACGAAGCGAGGACACTGCTTGTTGGGTATTCGATCCGATGGACGGGGATTTCTTGCTTGACCGCGTGGGAAAGCAACGCTGTCATGATGACCAACTGCGCGGCTGTTTCGCTGTCGACCTCAGGACGGAAGCGGCCGACCGGCGCACCATGGTTCACGGAACCTCCCGGTGACATACAGGTAAGCTGCCGGCACATGGCGACCATACTAGCACCCGCCGGTTCACGGATATACCACGGTCGCACAGCCAAACACGATGGGCCGGATCAGGTGCCAATCCTGCACGCGTCGTGGCTTGTGGGTTGGCTTGAGTCTGGGCCCGATGCAACGCAGCGGTTGTTCTGTTTGTGTGAGGTGTGAAGCCCCAACCCAAGACAGCATCCGGGTGCGCAACCACTAACTCGCTAGCACAAACGCCTCCCGTTCTCAGGCGCTGTGTCAGCGGAACTGGAGGCGTCAACCGTGGCTAGCGGATGGGCCAATTGCGACGCCAGCCAGCCTTCCGTGCTTCCAAGGAGATTTACATGAGGTACATACCTGGTAGATACCAAGGCAGTTCGAGATCCTGGAGACCAGATCTTGCCAGGGTGCGAGATGCAAGCCGGTCAGCCGGCGCCAGGAGGAATACAACGATTGGACATGAACCGATGGGACTCATTACCTCCATACTGAGCTACCCTGGCACCATGCCACCACGGACAGCGGCACATTTACCTGGAATGGATACCAGGTACTAGGTGCCTAGGCCTACCTAGGTACCAATGCTAATTTATAGATATATCCTCCCCCCCC